CCCTCAGCACACGGGCCGGCAGGAGCGCCTGCCACGCACAGGTGCGGAGACCCCACGGTCGAGAAACCCTTGAGCCTTTCTCAAGGAGTGACAGCTGTTTGGGCCGGCCCCTCTCGGGGTTCCCAGGGCGGAGAGGGCTGCAGGCGCTGTCAGGGCAGCGCAGACCTACGTGGCGGCCGGTGACGGAGACACATCACGGAACCAGAGGCGGGCCGTGGGCAGGCTTCCCCGACACGCGACCTCCTGTGGCATCAAGGCAGGTGGCCGGTGGCCACACGCCCACTGCTGCCCTGTGCCGCCAGGTGTCTGGAGACCACCCAGCGAGCGTGTCCTGGGCGGTGGAGTGGAGATGACCCGGCTCTTCGGCCATGTCCAGACTCACCGGCTGTGCTCTGTCCAGAGGGCAGCGATGTCAGCTCAAACAGCCACACGTGTGTGAGCTCCTAAGTCGCCCCCAAGTGAAGCCTGAGTCCTGGCGCGGGCAGCCCCGAGACACCGTCCGGGCTGAACGCAAAGAGCGTGCGATGCGAGGGTGCGGACGAGGGGTGCGGCTCCCTAAAAGCTTCAGGCAGGAGGGACCCAGAGACAACACCTGGCGCTCACGCCCCTCCAAACCCTCACCACAGCCTGGCTGTGAAAAAGCTACAAAGCTCCACCTCTTCACCACTCGTCCTTCAAGGCCGCTGGACCAAGCCGCTGCTGGCCCAGGAGGCTGGCACCAAGGCCCTGGGCCAGAGCCACCTCGGCTCCCGCGGCCGGGCGCCGCCCAGCGCCCTGCACCCCAGGGCCACCTGCGCGGTCAGAGTCTTTACCAGCAGACGCGTGCCTAGAGCGAGCCGAACCGGCGCCCCTGTGGGCGTCCCCCGGAAACGTCTGCAGACGTTCTCCGGGGCCAGCGGGGGTGAGAGCTCCCATGGGAACGGCCGGACACTGTCCCTGCACGGGAGCTGCCCTTGGTCTCGTCAGTAGGGTCCGACTGGAAGGGATTCTGACCACCTGCTCTAACGGGGTCAGCAGGCTGAAGGCCAGTGGCTGGGTGGCCCCCGCTGAGGGCTGGTACTGGGGAGACAACAGTGCCGGGTGCAAGACGGGTCTCGACTCAGCTCTGGGGGACCGTGATGAAGTCCTGGCTCTGGAGACCCCCTGGAGGGCAACATACCTCTAGCGCTCAAATAACCCCAAGCTGACCAGCCACTCCTCAGGGCCACACAGAACATGCAGCTGAAAGGCCGACCCGGGGCAAGATGGGGGGACTGGACAGCAGCAGGTGGGGTTGTGAGTCTCCTGCTGTCTGACCGGCTCTGAAGGTGAAGCCATCGTTTTGAGAGAAGGCGGGGACGGTGGCTCACCCCAGCAAGCCGATGACCCTGCAAGGGGCCTCACGAGAGTAGCGTATCAGGGGAGGGACACATGGGTTCAGAGACTGTACTCAGGCAGAACAGGGCCTCACGGAACATCAGGGTCTTGGAAATGGCAACGCAGCGTGACCCAGAGAATGGAATGTAACCCTGAGGAGCATCATGTCGTTCGATGCTGATGGGACTGGTTCTTCCGCCCTCAACATCCTAACCACAAGGTGGCATCCACATGGGTATTTCTTAAGTTGCTGCATTTGCTTAATCTTAAATGCCTTACGTGCGAACTGATACTGGCTACGTGGTGTCTCTTCTGAACCAGCACCTCACAGTAATTATGCTCTACCCACAACTGCACGGGTGTTTTCAGGGCCACGCTCCGAGTCTGCAGGGAAGACCCCTGTGCACTGGCAGGAGATCAAGTGACGGCCCCTTCCCACGAACCTGGCCTCAGGCACTCAAAGCCATCAAGACGCAGATACTTTCAACCTAGGAAGCGGCGAGCGTGGCTTCTGCCACAGGAAAATGAACAGGGAAGTGTAACATGAGGCCAGAGAATTGTTATTTTTAATAGTACAAATAATGCAAAATGAGTCTGTTTGCCAAACGTCCAGTGTGGAGAGGCTTCTACAGCAATGAGAGCACATCTGCACGACGAATATTATATAGCCATGAAAAATGACGGCGAGCAAGTGCCAGCCCTGCGGACGGGGGGCCTAGTGGTGCTTCGGGAAGCAGCCACATGCTGGCTTCCAAAGCAACTGCTCCATTGACTCAATTTTTAGATCCATGTTCTCTTCTTTCTCCTTGACTACCTGCTCCAGTCTGCCTACTCTCAAAGTTCTACCTCATCCACGCATGTGTTACTGTAATTCAAGACTCCAGAGCCACAGAGGGATGTTGGGGTGGCGGAGAGAGACATGGTCTTAAGGGCTGCGAGGGGCCTACTATTAATGTCACGATGGGGAGGGGACATGGCTGCGACTTCGGCCGCGAGCCTGTCAGGGTGCCCCGCCCCCGCCCCAGTTCACACCGTGTCTGTGCGGCCGCGCCCCGGGGTGACACTCACGTGCAGGCTGGGGTGGTAGGTGAGCAGCCCGTTGTCGCACAGGGTCACGTACTTCTTCTTCCACTCCTTGTTCAGGGACTTGCCGCTGCGCTTCAGCAGGATGCCCTGGGGGAGAGAGGCCAGGTGAGTTCTGAGGGCTGAAGCCGGAGCACCGGATGCCAACCCTTGTGGCTTTATTTTTTTCATTTTATTGCTTTAAAACACATTTTTTAAAAAAAAAAATGATAATAGTTTATTTTCCCATCATTTTGTGCTTATTTCCATCTCAATTGTCATCCCCGTGGGCTTCGCACCACCCATTCACCCGTGTGCCATCACCACAGACCTGTACACTCCCCCGCCCCATTTTTGATCCCATTTCCCACTCCACCCCTGTAAAATGCCTCCCCGCCACTGCCCCCCCACCCCGGTCCTTTACACTCCTGCTATGAGTGAAACTATCTGGTATTTTTCCTTTTCTGTCTGCCTTATTTCACTAAGCATGACCTCTTCCAGCTCCATCCATGTTGCTGTAAAAAGCATGCGTTTATCCTTTTTGACCGCTGAGTAATATTCCATCATATCTATGTACCACACTTTTTAACCCAGTCATCTACTTTTGGGCATTTAGGCTGTTTCCACATCCTTCCTATTGTAAATAAAGCAGCAATGAATATGGGGGTGCAGATGTCTTTTTGAATCAGTGTTTTTGTGTCTTTTGGGTAGATACCTAGGCGTGGGATTGCTGGGTCGTAGGGAAGCTCCATGTTTAGCAGTTTGAGGAACCTCCAAACAGTTTTCCATAGTGGTTGTACTAGTTTGCATCCCACCAGCAGTGCAGGAGAGTTCCTTTCTCTCCACTTCCTCGCCAACATGTGTTGTTGCTAGTTGTCGAACACTTGTGTTTTATCTTAAAATAGAAATGGCAGGTCTGTTCTGCTTGTTCTGCGCCCCCACTCTGTCTCTGGTGATTCCTCTCACACACTCCCTGCCCCACGCCTGGCCTGTACCCCAGTTCGTGTATGCATAAATAAGTAAATCTTAAAAAAAAAAATAGAGAGGCAGGTCTGTACCCCGGTGGCAGGGATTTTCCACCTTCATGCAGACAGCAGGCCGGCCGGCCACATCTCAGGTGTGAGGACGGCTCCTGGGCTGACCCTGACCGTGCCCGGGGCCTCCCGCCTGCCGACTCCACCGTGAATGTCACGCGGCGGTCAGAGCGCACGAGCCGGCACCCTTCGCCCCGCGATGTCACCGTGACCAGACACTTCACAGCGGCGGCCGGGGGCACGTCCTGGCGAGGCACGTCCTGGCGCTCCGTGAACGGGTTTCGGCGCCCTGCGACGGCCTCGGAGCCGGGGCCCTCGTTTTCCAGCCTAAGCGCAGCACGTTAACTGTTCTCTTACCTTCCGATATTTGCAAATAAGAACACTGTATTAACCATTTTTCATTTCGGATTTCTAATTTATTAAAAATGAAATCCCATTTGCAAACTTAGCAATAGCACTTAATAGATGAATCGTGTATAATTTACTTTAATCCATTTTTAATGAAATCATATTAGGGCTTCTTGAAAGCCATTCAAGATTTGAAGCCCACACACTTCTGACGCATGTTTAATCCAGTTTTCCCTAGATGACTGATGAGAGTCGCGTCTTGCATTAACTCCCGATTCCAGCAAACCTCCTGCCTTGCTCCTACGCTGCTCTAGAGGGAGAAACCGGGGCTCCCTGAGCCGCCACCCCGGGCCCGGACCTGGCATTCCTGCTGTCCTGGCCTGGTCCACCCAGGTCAGGCCCGGCACTGTCCACTCCAGCTGCTGTCCACGCAGTGCAGTGGACATGAGCCGCCTGCGACTGTCCCTGTCTCAAACCACAGGATCCTGCTATGCTGAGAAAGCACCAGGTTGCCCAGGCAGAGGGAAATCCTGACCGCTCCATGGTGCCCGTGGGCATCCTGGGAAATTTCACCTGCAGCCCGCCACCAGCTCCTGATCCTGCCTCCGCCAGCCACGCAACACGAGAAAGACGAAGCAGCAGTTGGAGGCGACCCACAGGTTCAAGCCCAGTGTCACCACCCGCTGTGCGACAACAGTCTTACATTCTGCCCTCCACAACAGCGGGCTAGCAGGCGCTGGGCGCGGGTCGACACCGGAATGCTGCTGTCAGGGGAAGCATTTCAGTCTGAAGCGAGGAGACCCGTGTTCGCGATTTGCAAGACACACGCGCCAGAAGGCTGCCCGCCCGGGGGTGCCGGCACCTGGGCCCAGCGTCCCTAGGCCAGAGGCCAGGCCCGGGGACACGGGCCTCACACCAGCAGGGTGGGGCTGTCCTCTGGGACTCCGTGGACATGCTGCGCTTAACGCGCCACCTTCCCCACCCCGGCGGGACTCGGCCGGCACAAACCTCCTCCCAGCCCTGCGGCGGGCTCGCAGCTTCAGCGGCCACTTAGGGCGCTGCTCGGCCAACCCCAGAGGCCAGCGGGGCCCCGGGGGCTGGGAGTGCTCTGGGCTTCAGAAGCTTGTCCCTCCACTCGAACAAGGCAGGGCGCTGGCTCGGGCAGACCCTCTCCCCGAGGGCCGCGCACTCACCCTTAGGGAGACAGAGGAACCGTCGGGCCAGGCGCAGGGGGCAGCGCTCACCTATCACTGGTACAGGGAAGCGAAACGTCTTGGCCAGCTAAAATAATCTGTAAGAATCGCTGTGCTCCTCAAGCGCGCCCGCAGCCAGGGCCCCTCCGGTGTCCAGGGGCCTCGAGCCTGGGCCCCCCGAGGGCTGCTGGGCAGACAGGCCGCTCCCCGCTGCGGGTGGCCTCGAGCCAGGCCTGCGGCTCAACTGCCAGGTGCGGGCATGTGGGCATGCCCACACGCTGGGGGCAGCGACATGCACGGTGCCCAGGACAAGGGTGGGCAGGGGCAACCTGTCAGCTTATGGGCTGCACCAGGAGTGGCCACGCTCTGCTATCCCTGCCCCAGAGGACTTGGTAAGTCCCCACGATGGTTGAGCCCCCACAGCCACCACTGGGCCTCATGCACCCAGCCCCCCTTCAGAGCACATGCACCCTGAAACCGGGGTGTCCCCTCGCAGGCACCTCTGTGACCTGACTCCCCTCCCGTGACGGTGCAGGGGAGCCACGCACAGCGGGACATGCCCTCACGAGGTGGACACACACCGCCCCGACGTGGGGTTCCGGGAGCCCCAACTCCGTCCCGAGGAAGGGGGGCTGTGACGGGGACTGGCGTAGCCCACCGCAGCCCGACCCGGAGGCTCCAGGGAGGGGCGCTCGGCGTGCTGTAAGCTGGAGAGGCCCAGGCCTGCCAGGCGGGCCCAGGTCCTGGCCGGCGCAGTGTGGGTTTCCTGATGACCGTGTGTCCCCACAAATACGAGGGGCGCCCCGGGAGCTGATGAGCCCAAGCCTGCGCTGCTAGGGGTGCGAGCAGGGGTGGGGGCCAGTAATCAGAGGGAGGCCTGGGAGCAGCTTCTGTGGATCAACAAGCCTTCTGCTGTTCTCCCCCCCCCCCTTTTGGGTTGCATTAATGCTGAATGCTGATTTTCTAAGAGTCTTTGTACCAAGTGAGAATTACAGCATTTCGGAGACTTAAGAGACCCCTGAGGTCCAAATATCCAGGCCTGAATCTGCCAGACAAGTTCGCGTGCAGGCCCGTGTCTGCGTCCCTGGACAGGAGGCCGAGGGCCTGGGCAGCTGGGAGCCCGGGCAGGGGTGCGCTGCCCCAGAGTGGGGTGGTCCCCCGAAGTGCTGGAGGAAGAGTGAGTCACCTGCTGCCCCTGCCCTCAGCTGCAGAGGGGAGCCCAGGCTGCCGCCCTCTGCGCCCATCACTTGCTTCCAAGTGCCAAGAAAAGTGAACAGCTACAGGCTGTTCTTGCAGGCCTCTAGAGGACAGGGGTCCCCACCTGCCGGAGCAGCCAGGACTGTGCCCCCCGAGCCTGAGCCTCAGGCCACAGCTCACTGCCAGCACGTGCGTCTGGCGCGTCCTGCGTGCACCCAGCGTGTCCCCGCACTGCCGGCGTGTCAGCAGGGCCCCCGTGTCCGACAAGGCCAGGCTGGCCCGGGGGGAACAAGGCCCCGGTGGTCCTGGCGGCCCGGCGACCCGCAGTGTCAGCGGCTGCCGACAGACCGCCTCAGACACGCCGGGCCCCGGGGCCGGGCACAGCATTAGGCCCGGGAGCTCGAGGCGATGCGGGCTTCAGAGCTCGGCCGACCCACCCAGCACCCCCGGCCAGCGGGTCCCAAGGGGGTCTGGGGGTCTGCACTCCTCTAGGTTGGTCCAGGCAGCCTCGGGGCACCAGGCCAGGCCAGCGGGGTCCCAACCTCAAAATCTCCCGGCAGCCTCTGTCCTGAGGGGTCTAGGACGCCCTCGGCCTTGGTCATGACCCACCAGGCGACACGCACTTGGGTTTAGGGCAGATGATCAACGGCAGGGGCGGCCGCAGCGACCCTCGGAGCGGGCAGGTCGAGCCAGGAGCGGGCTGGGGTGGGCGGAGGGGACCGACTGAGGGGCTACCTGTCGCCCGGAATGAGGGGCTACCTGTCGCCCCAGGGGTGCCCAGAGCCCGGGCCGGGGTTGGTGACCACTTCCCGCAGGAGCTGCAGACGGCTGCCCGGCCCCTGGGATGGGCGCGAGGTCCGGAGCGGCCTGCAGGCAGAATGGGAGGACACGGTTCCAGGCTGGTGCCACGCTGGCCTGGCTCCGCGGCCGGTTTCTGCAGCCAAGAGGACCCTCAGGGTAAGAACTGGCCTCAGAACAGGGATCCGATGCAGGGGTGCCGGGGTGCGACCTCAGAACAGACCCCGCCACAGCGGCGGTGGCGCCTCTTCTTGAGGGAAGAAGCTTCCAGGGCGGCCCTGCGGTCCTCGGCCGCCCCGTGGCGGGCGGGGAGGGCGGGGGACGGCCCCAGGTGGGCGTGGCTCGCAGAGGGACGGCGCTCAGAGGCGGCCCACGCGCTTCCACAGGGCGCTCCTGGCGGCCGACCAGAGCTGAGAAGGAGTCAGCCTGGGGTGCGGGGCGCGACTGCGCAAGGCAGGAGGCGGCTGAGGCGGCGGTGCAGCGGCCTCACAGGCTGAGTCTCACGGGAAGGGAGGCCGAGCCAGCCGAGGCTGCGAGGCTG